CTTGCGCTTCAGCCGCTCGATGCCCTGCAGGGGGGAGGGGAGGGGGGGGAGAGGGGAGGGCGGGAGGGAGGGGAGAAAGGGGGGAACAAGAGGCTCAGCCCGCGCGGCCGCGGCCTGGTCTCCGCGCCCCCCCAAGCCCACTGAGATCTGGGGTGGGGCCCCGGGGCCAGCAGCTCAACCTCAAGGAAAACCAGATCCCACCGACGGCGAGCAGGGGAGGGAGGCAGCGGGCGAGGCCGGCGGCGGAGGCCATGCGGGGGTGCGGGGCTGGGCGCAGGGGGGCGGGGGGGGACACGACACTGGGCCCCCGCGTGGGGTCCGCTCATGCAGGGTGGGCGCCCCCCGCCCCCAGCCACGAGTCTTTCAAGCCACTCACCTGCCGTGGGGCCACAGGAGGCCCAACACCTCCAGAGGGAATGATGGACGGACAGACACAGACAGACAGACACACACACACACACAGTGGGGGGAGTTGTTTGGGGAGTCCGGGGGTTCAGGACTAGCAGCTAGTAGTTCCACCCTTTTCTCTCCCACACGAGACAACGCAGCCCAGCACCACCCCTTCTACTATGCTGAAAGGGAAACTGAGGCACAGTTTGTGCTCCGACCCCTGCCCTCTGCTCCAGTGTTCACCCCACCCTAAAAAACAGTGATTTCAGGACTTTAAGCTTCATGGCCTTGTTGTGGGAGGACAGGCCTTCCTGGGGCTTGAACTCAGGGCCTGGGCGCCGGCCCTGAGCTTCTTTTGCTCAAAGCTAGCCCCTACCACTTTTTTTTGTTTGTTGGTGGTAGTGGTTGTGGGGCTTGAACTCAGGGCCTGGGTGCCGTCCCTCAGCTCTTCAGCTCAAGGCTAGTGCTCTACCCCTTGAACCACAGCGCCACTTCCAGCTTTTTCTGCTTATGTGGCACTGAGGAATCGAACCCAGGGCCTCCTGCATGCAAGGCAGGCGCTCTACCACTGAGCCACCTGCCCAGCCACCCCCCCCCCACGTTTGAGCCCCAGCTTTACCTCCACCTTTTTGCTGGCTCACTGGAGATAAAGTCTCATGGACTTTCCTGCCCTGGGCTGGCTTTGAACCTCCATCTTCAAATCTCAGCTTCCTGAGTAGCTAGAATGACAGGTGTGAGCCACTGACGCCTGGCTTTTGTTGTTTTGAATTCTGGTGCTGGGGTCTGAACTCTGGGCCTCTTGCTCGTGCTTAGTTTGCACACTCAAGGCTGGCGCTCCACCACTTGAGCCACAGCAGGTTTTTTGCTTTTTTCTTTGGCTGGTTCACTGGAGATGAATGTCTTCTGCATTTGACTGGCCAGGGCTGGTTTTGAACCGTGATGCCCTCAGTCCTCAGCCTTGTGTGGTGATGTAGACTTAGTGAGCACAGACCAAAGGAGGCTAGAGTCAGGACAAACGGGGTCCTGCCAAAGAGAGGGGCCCTGGTGCACGCAGAAAAGCGCCGCTCTGCAGCTCTCATTTTTTCCACTCAAGATGGGCGCTTTGCCACTTGAGCCACGCCTCTGCTCCTGACAGAGACCGGATGAATGATACTGGGCGCGATATTATCCTGTCATATTCTTTTTGTCTGTCTGAAATTATTGCACAGCAAAAAGGTCACACAATAATCGAGCCGCGCCTCTGTGGCTCATGCCTGTCATCCTAGCAACTCGGGAGGCTGAGAGCTGAGGATCGAGGTTCAAAGTCCAGTCTGGGGATAGAAAGCCCGTGAGACTGTTAGCTCTAAACACCAAAAAAAAAAAAAAAAAAAAAAGCCAGAAGTGTGGCTCTGGTGGTAGAGCGCTTGGCTTGAGCACAGCAGCTCAGTGCAGGCTAGGAGCATCCAGGCCCTGAATTCAAGCCCTGGGACTGGTATTTAAAAAAAAGCCCAAGGTGGACTTGTGGTTCAAGTGGTAAAATGCTAGCCCGAATCAAGCCCCAGTACCACACACACACACACACACACTAATGATAAGACATGAATAGTTACACCATACAAACCTGAACACCCGATTAGAATGCAAAGCTGGAATCAAAATGTACAACAGCAATAATAGCACAGTACATTGGAATATTATGCAGCAATGAAAAATGCTGTTAATACAGGCTTTCTTTTCTTTTCCAGTCCTGGGGCTTGAACTCAGGGCCTGGGTGCTGTCCCTGAGCTTCTCTTGCTCAAGGCTAGTGCTCTACCACTTGAGCCACAGCACCACTTCCAGCTTTTTCTGTGTATGTGGTGCTGAGGAATCGAACCCCGGGCTTCATGCATGCAAGGCAAGCACTCTACCACTGAGCCACCTTCGCGGCCCCTTCATGCGGGTTTGCTTGGCCCTGGAATATCACATTTGTGGGCGTCCCGGGGAGAGGACAAGGCAGGTGAGCAACGAGCCTCCTGGAAGACGTGGATTGTGGCTGAGGTGTACTTCTCTCTGGAGAACTTGTGTGTTCCAGGTTGTGGTGGTGGTTTTCGTACACCAGCGAGCCGGTGTTAGGAGAACAGCAAAAGGCTCTTTTGGTGGACGCAGGCCCGGAGGGCCCCCACCGGGCTGCAGGCACGCCGTCTCCCGCGGACCGACCCGGGCTGGCCTCGAACGCCCAGGCCTCGGTCTCCGCCTCGTGAGCTCGGGGTTGCAGGCGTGTGTCTCCACGCTGGCCTCCTGCCTTGTTTTCTGGGGAGGTGTCGGGGATGGGGCCTGAGCTCGGGGCCCGGGCGCTGCTGTCCTGTGGTTTTTCCGCTGGAGCCCGGCACTCCTCGTGGCTGCTGGGTTGGAGATGAGCGTCTCCCCCGGAACCGGCCTCGAGCCACGGGCCTCAGGCCTGGGCCTCCCGAGCCGGCCGAGCCACCGGCGCCCCCCGGCCCCCTCCACTCGGGGTGCTCACCGTCAGGCCCCGTCTTCAGCTCCCGTGGCTTCCCCTAGGAGCTGGTGGAGCCCGGCTGGAGGGTTCTAGATTTCCATCTTGGGGTTTTCCCCGGGCTCCCACAGCCAGGCGGGCCGGAGCGGAAACACCCGCGGGCCATGTGCCGGCCAAGGGGCAGCACCCAGAGCGGCTGCTCGGATTGGTCACCTGGAGCACTGCTTGGATTGGTTGGCCGGGAGCGGCTTCTTGGATTGGTCACCTGGGCGGCTGCTCGGATTGGTCGGCCGGGAGCGGCTGCTCAGATTGGCTGGCTGGCAGGCGGGCGGGGTCAGGGCGTGAGAACGCACATCTCATGGCGGGCGGAACCGCGGGCTCGGGAAGGTGCAGGATGGGGAAAAGTTGGTCAAGTTTCTTTCCATCGGGCGCCGTCTCCGTGCCCGCGTGGTGCAGACCGGGACACCGAGCCGAGGACGGCCGTGGGGGGAGCCGAGCGGCGCCCCATCCTCTGACTGGGGCGGGCGGGGCGCGTCCCGGGCCCGCCTCTCTCCGTGGTGGTGCTTTCTGGGTCGGTCCCGGGGCTCGCGCTCTCCGGCCGGGTGTGACGTGCCCGGGGCTGGCTCCGGACTGCGATCCTCGGCCCCCCCCCCCCGCCCGTGGCCTTACGTGGGGTGTGTGTGTG